CTCGATCCCGGGACTCCAGGATCATGACCTGAGCCGAAGACAGTCGCTTAACCAACTGAGCCACCCAGGCACCCATCTTGTTTTAATTTCATTAATGAGAGAATCAGCAGAGATTTTTGAAAGCTGATTTGAAGAGTATTCAAGGATATATACGGTCAGGAAAGGAATGCCTAAGTCAGACTCTTAAGTGAGATGTAAGACTCAACTTCCTACAGGGTGAAAACACCATGACAGTTAGAGGTTTAACATCTCTACGAGGCTATGAAATCCTATCACCACATCAAGCTGTATCCATCCTGACTCGTCAATCTGACTCGTCAATCAAATACACTGTGTCAACCATGTTACATTTCCCAAAAGTGTCAGCTGATGGAAGAATAATGAGTCACAAGGACCTGCTTCTATTCAGACAGACTCTAGCAAGAGATCAAAGATGTAGGCAGCCACCATTTTTTCTTTTTCTGAGTTCGAGATGATTTTTTTCCTTTCATACTGACACCCAGCAGCAACCCAGTAAGTGTTGGTATCTTTCCCTGCCCTCTTCAGCCAGTTTGAACTTAAGCTGCATTCTCCAGGTCAGGGGGCCAGAGAATAGGGTGGTATCTGGACCCAACCCGAGTGGTTGTGGCTCCCAAGTGGAAAGATGCACGGGCAAGTCTCTTCCATTGGAATAAGCTCTTTTGTTCAGATGCTAGATACGAACTGCCCAATTCCAGATCCTCTCCATGCATTTTAGGACTTTTGTCACAGACATGAGGAACTTGGCTAAAGTCAGGAGACTTGGATGGAGAACCTGGGTGGAGAAGCAGATTTCAGACAGGTCATCCTTACAGCCCCGGAAATCTCAGCAGCCGGATCTGCCTCAACTGGTGAGCCAAGGTCTCCTTGGTGGACTCAAACATTGCATGAGGTTTCCCGCTAAACAACTTATTTCTCTACTTCCCACTGCCTTGTTCTTCTTTTGTAGCTGGGGAAACAGGAAACCAAATCACCTTGCTCTGGGCTACAAGCCCTGTCTGACTCTGCCCAGTGGTTCCCATAATGGGCATAGTCTGTAAGTTATAAGCTTCCAAGGACTACCTCCCTCATCTCCACCTCTTTCTCCAGGATGCCAGTGCCAGCTGAGCCACCTCCCCTGCCCAACCATGAATTTGGGTATCAACTGTTGACAGTCCAGTGTCAATGTGATTCTTCACAACCAGTGGCCCATCACTTATGGTGAAACTCCAGAGGGCACCCTGGGCCAGCTTCTCCATGGTCTCTCCAAGCTGGCTCAGAGAAAGCAGATTCATTGGGTTTTCAACTAAAGGCAAACAATTAATAATGTTAAATCTCTGGCCAAAGAACCCATTAACCTCAAGTCCAAAAGTGCATTTTCAAGGAGAATCAAAGGCACTGGGATGTGTTGCCTCCACCCTGACTCAGACACACACATGGACACCACCACCACCCCATCACTGTGGATAACCGAGAGACAGACTAGATTGCTCTCCCCTTTTCAGCACTGTCCCATTACATTTCCTAAATGCTGAGAGAGGCCTGGGGTACGGCTTGATGAACCTGTAAACCCTTCCCATTTTCTTTAGCCTGGGCCACATTTGGGTCCAACAGCTCACCTTTGAAGTACCCCTCAGAACCAGCATCATCTCCCTTTCTGCAATGAGAGAGTGTGTTCACACTCCCGACAAGATAGAAGCACTTGCTCTGGGGGATGGATAAAACTATCCTCAGGAAAACTGAGGAGGAAGCAACCTTGACCCTGAGCTTTCCACTTGCCCAGCAGAAACCCATCTCCATGTCTGAGGATAGATTCCCCCATCACATTCTAGGTCCCAATCTTTGAAAATTTTTAATTAATTAAATTTTTATTGAAGTATAGTTGACACACAATGTTATATTAGTTTCACATGTACAACATAGAGATCCGACATCTCTATATGTTATGTTGTGCTCAGGAGTGTAGCTACCTTGGGGCACCTGGGTGGCTCAGTCGGTGAAGCATCTGCCTTCGGCTCAGGTCACGATCCCGGAATTCTGGGATCGAGCCCCGCATCGGGCTCCCTGCTCAGCGGGAAGCCTGCTTCTCCCTCTGCCCCTCACCCAGCTCACGCTTGTTTGCTCTCTTTCTCTCTCTCGCTCGCTCTCAAATAAATAAACAAAATCTTTAAAAAATAAATAAATAAATAAATAAAATCTTAAAAAAAAAGAAGTGTGGCTACCATTTGTCACCATAGGATGCTATTACAGTACCATTGACTATATGCCCTATGCTGTGCCTTTTATTCTGATGACTTACTCATCCCATAACTAGAAGCCTGTATCTCCCACCCCTCTTTACCCATTCTGTCCATCCCCCCAACCCTGTTCCTCTCTGGCAACCATCATTTTGCTCTTTGTATTTATGGGTCTGTTTCTGCTTTTTGTTTGTTTGTTCATTTGTTTTGTTTTTTAGACTCTACATGTAAGTGAAATCAGATGGTATTTGTCTGTGTCTGACTTATTTCACTTAGCATAATACCCACTAGTTCCAACCATGTTGTTGCAAATGGCAAGATCTCGTTGCTTTTATGGCTGAGTAATACTCTATTGTGTGTGTATATATATATATATATATATATACACACACACACCACATTTTCTTTATCCATTCATCTATCAATGGACACTTGGGCTGCTCCCATATCTTGGCTATTTTAAATAATGCTGTAGTAAACATAGGGGTGCATATAACTTTCTGAATTCACATTTTAGTTGTCTTTGAATAACTACTCAGTAGTGGAATTACTGGATCATAAGGTATTCTTATTTTTAATTTTAGAGGAACCTCCATACTGTTTCCCACAGTGGCTGTACCAGTTTGCATTCCCACCAACAACAGTACACAAGGGTTCCTTAGGCCCCAATCTTAATTCTCTGCTGGCTGCCAAACATTTTCACCAATATGTCAGCTGATGATAAAACTGACTAGTAACTAAAACTTTGGTTGATGGATAAGGGTTTAAGCTGTTACCTTTTCATACTTGTTTGCACTGTTATATGATCAAAGCCCCAATGATCTGCAGTAAGTAATCTTGAGCACTGGTAGCCAGTTAATCTGAGTGGCATCTTGTTGGGGGAGGGGGTACTTGTTTCTCCTGAAATCCTGGGGGAGTTGGCCACCTCCCCTTCTCCCCTTGGGCACAGAGCACTTCTGACTTCTCCAAAGGACACCTTCTCCCCCAGCTGACCTCCACAGAGTTGGGTTCCTCTCCAGCCCAGGCTTCTGGGGTCAGAAGCACACGATCACCCTAGGGAGGGCTTAAGGGTCCCTGCCACGTTTATGCAGCAACTCAGTGCCTCCTGCATGCAGAGGGACCCCAAGCCAGCCTCCGTGTCCCGGGGCACAGTGCACCCACAGCTTCCAGAGCAAGAGAGCTGGGAAGGGGTGTGGGCGGAGAGGGCCTGATATAGCAGCACACGTCCCACAGAGTCCAACCACACACAAACAACAGCAATCATAGAAATAGTCCTGCTTTCTCTACTAAAATCCAGCAGCTAGGACAAGTCTTCTTAGCCTTTGAGGGGTCTTTGGACCCTTCCAAGAATCTGATGAAAGCCATGCAGAAATGGGCTTATTTACACAAACACTCAAAATGATGCTTTCAACTCCAGCTCCATTTCAGAGATGCACAGTAGACCAAGAACTCTGGTTTACAGATTCTGCTGACAGCTCCCTACCCCCATCTCCATCATTAGCACCACTGCCCCATCACCTAAGTGGGCATAACAGAAAATTTCCCAGGGCATAGCCTGGAAGATCAGCTTGGGGTTGGATTCTGGTGAGAGGTGCCCATTCATTGCTGGTCTTCCCATTTTACCAGGCCCTTGGAAAATCCACAGTGACGATCAGGAGGTTATTGTAGATACTCACTGATAAACAGAGGGTTCACCACCCAGGGTAGCATTTGAGTGCCCTTTTCCATGACTTGAGTTTTAGGAATACGTCGGCCTATTAAAGAGGGCACATTCTGCATGGAGCACTGGGTGTTATGCACAAACAATGAATCATGGAACACTACATCAAAAACTAATGCTGTAATGTATGGTGATTAACATAACAATAAAAAATTTTTAAAAAGGAATACGTCGGCCTATTTGCCTATTCCTTTATTATTTCATCACATGGGAGGTTGAGAGCAGAGCAAGAAGGAAAGCTTCCGAAATCTCTGAGGAGAAATTACAACTGTGGGATCAGGGGTCTGTTAGTGTTACTTAATGTGGGACTCTGGATACCCACCTAAAGCCGCACCACATACAGAATCCATCTCCCTCCCTCACACACACACGTCTACTTGGTTATCTCCCTAACTTCCTAAGAGTCACATCTAAGACATTTTGCTCTAAAATAAAATTTAATTTAGAAACCAATGTGAGGGGCACCTGGGTGGCTCAGTCAGTTAAGCATCCAACTCTTGGTTTCAGCTCAGGTCCTGATCTCAAGGTCATGAGATCAAGCCCCACGTCAGACTCCACACTCAGCACTTGGAGTCTGCTTAAGACTTTCTTCCTGTCCCTCTGCTCATCCCCCCAGCGTGCTCTCTCTCTAAAATAAATAAATAAAATTTTTTTAAAAAGAAGAAGAAAGAAAGAAAGCAATATGAGTTTTCCCTACATCACCCTGTTCCCGTCTCACTCATTTGGGAACAAGTAGGAAAATCATCAGCCTCATGGACTTTTTAGAATCCTTAAGTCCCAGAACCAGTGCCTCTGGATGATGGGACTGAAAAAGACGACTAGTTTGAAGAGAAGGTGGGGAGGAAACCGGATGAGTGGTAAGCACTGAAGGGTTGTGAGTGGGAAGCGAGGACAATGGAGGTTTGTTTTCATTTCTTTGGGTTTTCCAGCCTCCCTCCACCCCCTGGGAACATCATTCCACAAGACAAAGGCAAGACAGCAAAAGAGGCCTGAGGTATCAACTACTTTATTATTCTGCCGGGACAGACCCAGGGCCCAGGGCTCTGCTACTCTTTGTGGATTTCTTTGTGGGCATCCACGCCAGCCTTTATCACGAGTATGAGGAACTCCTCGAAGTTAATTGCACCATCACTATTGATATCCAACTCTTTGAACCAGGTATCTGCATCCTTTTTCTGTTAAGAGGAAGGAGAAAGAAGCCAGAGTGTAAAAGACCTCAGCAAGAGCCAAGGCATGGCTGTCGACACAGGGTAACGTGGGAGACCAGGGACCCAGGGCTTCATCAGCCAAGCAGAGAACCCCAACCGCACCCAGTCCCTCCTCACCTTCATGTACAGAGGACACTCTGTCTCTAACAATTTCTTCAAGTCATCCCTATAGAGGGCGTGGTAATTCCCCTTCTCCAGGGAGTACCTGTGGTAAACCTCAATGAGGGAGTTCATGGCACTCTCCAGTTCCGTCAGCATGGTGCCCAAGGATCTGCCCCACCTGGAACATAGAGCACATTGGGAATCCCAGGATGGGGATGGTGCCTCTGCCCCCAGCAGAGTGAAGAATGAAGGGATGCTCATTACCCCAAATAACGGCTTTGTCCTGGCCTGCACCATTCAAATAACTAAACCCAGTGCGTGGCTGTGGCTATGATGGGAAGGGGTGTGGGAGGGAAAGGGTCCACACACACAGGGCCTGCCAACTCTCCCTGTGCCCTCAGCCAACCAAGAGGCCCCGGCTCTGTCTTTATCCCTGTCTCGCTGACTTCCTCCAGGAGCTCTGGATTTTGCTCCAGACCTCCCTGAGCTTTCTTTCCCCTCTCTGCTCCACCTCCGGCCCTCCCCAGTGGGGGCCCATCCCCAAAGCATGGGACAGACTGAGGCAGTCTTACTTACCAGGTCTCCCTGAAACAGAGTTGACAGAAGACGTGCAGGGCTCAGTGTCGGCTCCCTTTTATAGCAAGCCAGGTTTTGGCCAGCTGCCAGGGCCATGGGCCATGCAGAGATAGCTCCTCCCTTCCCCAGTTGCCACAGCTTCTGGTTTCCCAACCAGGTGAATGAGGCAATCCCTGCACAGAATGAAAATTTTTGGTGGGAGGTTGGGGGGGTAGGAAACGTGGAAGGAGGAAGGCATTTGCCAGGCAGTAGGTTTCCTGCCCAGCAGGAGAAACCAGGAGGTGGCCACCGTGAAGACTTCTTTGGTGAGTCACTGGCATCATCTGGCTGGGCTAACCAGGGTGCTCACTCTTGAGTCCTCCTCACTGCTGCTGCTGCTAATCCCATGCACTGAACCCTGTCTGTGCATCTCTGAAATGGAGCTGGAGTTGAAAGCATCATTTTGAGTGTTTGTGTAAATAAGCCCATTTCTGCATGGCTTTCATCAGATTCTTGGAAGGGTCCAAAGACCCCTCAAAGGCTAAGAAGACTTGTCCTAGCTGCTGGATTTTAGTAGAGAAAGCAGGACTATTTCTATGATTGCTGTTGTTTGTGCGTGGTTGGACTCTGTGGGACGTGTGCTGCTATATCAGGCCCTCTCCGCCCACACCCCTTCCCAGCTCTCTTGCTCTGGAAGCTGTGGGTGCACTGTGCCCCGGGACACGGAGGCTGGCTTGGGGTCCCTCTGCATGCAGGAGGCACTGAGTTGCTGCATAAACGTGGCAGGGACCCTTAAGCCCTCCCTAGGGTGATCGTGTGCTTCTGACCCCAGAAGCCTGGGCTGGAGAGGAACCCAACTCTGTGGAGGTCAGCTGGGGGAGAAGGTGTCCTTTGGAGAAGTCAGAAGTGCTCTGTGCCCAAGGGGAGAAGAGGAGGTGGCCAACTCCCCCAGGATTTCAGGAGAAACAAGTACCCCCTCCCCCAACAAGATGCCACTCAGATTAACTGGCTTCCAGTGCTCAAGATTTGTGGTGCATCTCTCTCATTACAAAGCACAGAGAGACTCAGAACATGCCTATCAGGAAGGCAGTGCACAGAACCCACCCAGCCTGCAGACAGGGAAGCTGACGCCCAGGAAGGTGAAGCAGTTCACCCAGAGTTTCCCAGTGCACAAGTGTCAGGGCCCAGAGCGTCATGAGCCAGAACATGACCTGACAAGAACATGACTCTGCTGAGAAAACTCTCCTCTCTACTTCCTTCCTGCATCCAACAGGTATTTACCCTGTGCCTCTCCAGGACGTAGGCCATCATTGCCTCCTGGGGGAAGCAGATGGGATTAGCATCCCTCTCCTGCATGTTTCCATAGCCCCTTGGGCTTCATTATATCATTAACTCTATAGCTGTGAGACTTTGGGCCAATTACCCTCTCTGTGCCTTAGTTACATCAATTATCAAAAAGAGATTAAAACAGAGTCTACCAGCACCCCACAGAATGGGAGAAGATATTTGCAAATCAGACATCTGATAAGGGCTTAGTATCCAGAATATATAAAGAACTCCTATAACTCAACAACAAAATTACCCCAATTGAAAAATGGGCAAAGGACTTAGACATTTCTCCAAAGACGATATACAAATAAGCACATGAAAAGATGCTCCACATCACTAATCATTAAGGAAGTTAAATCAAAACCACAATGAGATATCACCTCAGACTCAGGAGAATGGCTACTATCAACAAAAACAGAATAACAAGTGTTGGTGGGGATGTGCAGAAATTGGGACCCTTGTACACTGTTGGTGGGAATGTAAAATGGTGCAGCTGCTATGCAAAAGTGTGGTAACTCCTCAAAAAGTCAGAAACAGGATTACTATATGATCCAGTAATTCCACTTCTGGGTCTATATCAAAAATAATTGAAAGCAGGGTCTCAAATAGATATTTGTACATCCACATTCACAGCAGCATTATTCATAGTAGCTGAAATGTAAAAACAACCCAAGTGTCCAACCAAGGATGAATGAATAAATAAAATGGGGTATATTCACATAATGGAATATTATCAGCCTTTAAAAAGGAAGGAGGGACCCCTGGGTGGCTCAGTTGTTAGGCGTCTGCCTTCGGCTCAGGTCATGATCCCAGGGTCCTGGGATCGAGCCCCACATCGGGCTCCCTGCTCAGCGGGGAGCCTGCTTCTCCCTCTCCCACTCCCCCTGCTTGTGTTCCTGCTCTCTCTGTGTCTCTCTCTGTCAAATAAATAATAAAATCTTTTAAAATTAAAAAAAAAAATTAAAAGGAAGGAAACTCTTGACACCTGCTACAGCACAGATGAACCTTGAGGACATCATGTTATGTGAAATAGACCAGTCACAAAAAGACAAATATTATTTGATTCCATTTACATGAGGTCCCTAAGGTAGTCAAATTCGTAGAGACAGAAAGTAGAATGCTGGGTGTCAGGGTCTGGGGGAGGGATAATGGAGAGTTAGTGTTTGTTGGGTATAGGGTTTCAGTTACAAGATGAAGAGCTCTGGAGGTTAGTTGCACAACAATGTGAAGGTACTTAACACAACTGAACACTTAGATAGTAAATTTTATGTTATATGTATTTTGCCGCAATTAAAAATTTAAAACTTTTTAAGTTTTTCCACCCAAAAAAATAAATAGATTCTACCTTGTATGTTATTGTAAGGATTAATAGTAGATGAAAAATATTTATGATTTGTGAACTTTTCTTAATGTGTATTATACTTTAATAAAAAGTTTACACAAGGACTATGTGAAGTACTTAGGGCAATGCAGGGTAAGTGAGCGAGTGAGCGCTGGGTGAGCATGTACCCTGCGAACTGCCCTGCCCGTGCCTGACCGTCCAGCTGGACTGAGCCCTCGAGCATCCAGACTGGACCTTCCATCTCTGCCTCCCCAGGACCCGGTACAGTGTCTGATAGACACAGTAACAGCAACAACAATCAATAATAAGAACAAGTAATAACAAAATAACATTGATTGGGCTTCCACCATGTGCCAGGAACTGGTGCAAGTGCTGTACCTATGTCAATCTTACTTAATACTCACTATAACTTCTGAGGTAGGAACAATTATAATCCCCATTTTACAGATGAGGAACTGAGGCCCACAGAGAGACACAACAAAGTGGCTTTTCTGAGACTCTCCTTAGGATTGGGATGGGTCTCATGCTGACCTGTCTCAATGGGGGTGAGGATGAGGTTGATGCAGATGATGTCATCCCAGACCCCTGACCCTTCAAGAGATGCCTCCCTTGGGACACCTGAGTCACTCAGTTGGTTAAGCATCTGCCTTTGGCTCAGGTCATGATCCCAGGGTCCTGGGATCGAGTCCCACATCGGGCTCCCTGTTCCGCAGGGAGCCTGCTTCTCCCTCCGCCTGCAGCTCCCCCTGCTTGTGTTCTCTCTCTCTCTGACAAACAAATAAGTAAAATCTTAAAAGAGAGAGAGAGAGAAAGAGATGCCTCCCTTGAAGTCAGTACCCTGAGAACAGTCCCAGTGGAGGCAGCTTTATCCAGAAATTAAGAAAACCAGACCCCAGGTCCAGTGGGAGAGACCCAAGGTAGACATAAGCCATGAGCTCCTCCCAGCATCATGTGCTTATCAGTGGAACTTGCTGACCAGGGAGACCCTGAAAGTTGCCCCAGAGACGCTCCCCATGGACCAACAGCCTGGGGGCTTCAGGGAGAGCGGGAGCCAGGCTGAGTGACCTAGCAGAAGAAGGTGTCAAGAATTGGGTAAACACATCAGGGGAAAAGGCAGAGCCTGTAATCAGACCAACGGACATGGCACAACCCAGGGGAAGAGGAACCTGTTCCTACTTACAGGAAAGAGTTTAGTCCTGGGTATGTGTCCCAATAGCCCAACCAAGCCTGTGCCCAAGGCTGAGGAAATGAGGACAGAGTGGCAGAGTCGGTGTAGAAACCCCTGCCCCCACCCCGGGAAAGGGCAGGAGATCTAGGCTGAACCTGTCCCTTAGCACTCAAGGGTCTGTAGAACCCAGCAGTCAGGTGAGAAAAGCAGGAAGAATCTTCCCCTGGACCTGGGGGAAGTAGGTAGCCTGGCTCACCTGGCCATCCATGCCTCTGGTTGTGACTAAGAGGCCCACAGGAGGCAGCACAGACTCGGGAATCGGATTCCAATACAAAGGGCCCAATCCACAGGTGCAGCAGCACATGCACCTCCGAAGGGCAGTGCAGACCCCAGGGAGCATGCAGCAAGGTCCAGAGGGAGACAGCTGGGGCCCAGCTGAGTCCTGAGCGTCAGCACTGGTAGATTGGCAAATGTGCAAGCGATGTCAGTGAGAGGCCAGGCCCAGGGAGCACTGGGGGCAACACCGTGCTACCGAGCTTGACTGGTCAGAAACAAAGGCCCTGGTTCATCCCACAGGCACTGCCCCTCCTGTGGCACACAGATCCAGCTGGGGGAGGGAACAAAACCAAGTCCCGTAAATGACACCCCCCCACCAGTCATTGGCATAGGGGCAATGATGATTGCCCATAGTTCTTGGAAAACTCCTCATTGCTATCACAATACGCTCAGGACATGGATTACCAGACCATCCTTTGAGAAGAAACCCACCAAGATGGACCCTACCAGGGTCTAAAGGCAGAGAAGACTGACCCAGAGAGATTCTGCATCAGATTCCTGGGCTCCCAGGGAGAGAGAGAGAAATAAACACAGAGATGGGAAGGGGCAGGTCCCTGCTGGGAAGGGTCAAAGACCACAGGAGGACTTGGATGGTGACTCACATTAGCTCCAAGTGGAGTAATGCCCACATCAGCCTTTATTAGTAAAATCCAGACCCAACTGTTCTCTCCTCCAGGAAGCCTTCCCTGATTGACAGTAGCCTAGGTTCCACTCATCCCTCTTCACCATACAGGCCTTGCCCTTTGCCCTAGTCCCTGTCTCGGACTCAGCATGTGTGAAATCCACCTCACAGTCTTTGCTCTCAGACTGGCCCTCATGCCAACCACCCCATGCCAATTACCCACATCATCCTCCCGGTCCTGCCCTGACACCTTCTCAGACCCAAGCCACTTCTCCTTTGTACACTTTGTACGCTGATTCCTTGGCTCTCCCCCAGAGCAAGGAGACCCTCAAAGTGGGTCCTTGTCCAGTATGCATTTGCCCTCCTGCCTCTTGTCCGCTGCCCCATCATGTGTGTGCAGAGCGTGAGTGCTCAGAGCATCACCGGTGAGGGCTGTCTTCCGTGTCAGAGAGCCAGTTCCCTGAGAGAAGAGACTCCCCCCTCAGACTGGGGCTCCTGGAGGCCGGGGGCTGTGTCTCCCCCCTCAGACAGGGGCTGGAATGGATGATCCCCAAGGGAGCAGCAAACCTCCTCTCTGGACCCACAGCAGATACCCAGAACCATGAACAAGGAATTCCCAGCACATCTGTGGGATTGCTTTATTCTCTTCCCTCTCAGCTGTGCCTTGCACACGCACGTGCATAGGTGCGTGCACA